GCTTCCAAGTGCTGCTCCAGCTTGTCGCGAGCCACCTCCAGAATGCCCGTCATCCGTCGGTCCAAATCTGCTTCCGGCTCTACGATCCAAGCCGTCGGACTCAAGAAGTACAGCTCGATAGCGGGAGGCTGAGGACCGTCTCCGAAGGGATCTTGGCCGGGCACAAGAACTTCCAGCTGGAACTTCACCTTGATGGTGAAGTAAAGCTGGAGGCGCAGCATGTCCTCCAACTCGCCCCTTGCTGCGCGAAGGTCCTCAATCTGCACTGTGCCATTGGCCCGCTCAAGGACTAACTCACGCAGCCAGTGGGACTCATCCCGCCTCAGACGCGCCGCGCGAACTGTCAGCGGACCAGGAGCTAGCGCAGGGTCTGCCATGATCGAGCAGTTTATCTAGATGACTCTTTTCTTTAGTGGTCTGGTCAGTTGGGAATGATCGCCCACATCCTGGAACGCTGGCACGCCACCTGAGCTACCATGCTTATGTCCACAGAATGCTCCTGTTGCTCAGTGGAGTGTCTTCTCAAATGATCTTGCAGGCTGCGAGGCTGCAGGCAAACAAAGCTCACGTGCAAGCTCCAATGCAGCTGATGGTGGGATGCAACACGGAAATGCAGGCCTGAGGCAGCAAAACTCGATGAAGAAAACGGCGCTTCCAGGCCGAGACGTCGATGAAGGCAACGGGGGCCTGACGGCAGCACAGGTCAGCATAACTGGGCGCTAAAGAGGCTGCAAGCAATCCTCAGAGCATCATTTGTTCCGCCTTTTCAGCACCGGCGTCGGTTCAAAATTGCGGCCGCGGCTTGTGCGTGGCGCTCCGACGCAAACTTGTACTTCTTGTGTGTTGTATGCCAAATGATCGGGTGGCAGCCCTTCTGCCTCATCCACTGAGTGACCTCCTTCGGCTCTGCGGCCGTTCCGGGCTTGCCGACGCCATGACCGTCCTCGCGTTTGCGGTTGGCCAACAGGGCCTCGAGGATGTTGGCGCCGACCAGGGAGACGGTGTCCACGTTTTGCATCTTACATTCCTTGTAGAAAGTCAGCGCTTCCTCATAGGCCGTGGCCTCCTGCTGGCGCCTCGTCGTCTCCAGGAAGCTGGGGCCGGTGTAGTCTCGGCAGGCAATGGCTAGGTCCAACGCGTTGAGGCCACCTGAACTATAAGCAAGCGCAACTATCCCACTACACGAGCGGAGAGCGCAACCAAGAGACAAGCGGCCGTGAACTGCTTCCAGTCCTCCGCGTGCCCCTTCAGCTCCAGCATCTGCTGAGCCTCCTCCTCAGTGAGATCCTCGACCCAGATGTTCACCTGCCCATGGCACTTCATCGAACTGTGCGGAGGCTGAGATCTTCTGCAAACAACGCGGGCCTGTCGCGGGGCACCTCCAGCATCGAAGGTCATAGCCGTGCCTGCGGAGGAGGCACAGACGATAACCTCGGCTCAAACAATCAAGCCTGTGTGTGAGCCAACAGTGCAACACAGTGCTGGGTCCCCGCGTGCACCGCGCTGCCCATCTGGTCCGTGGACATCTCCTTCGCGAAGTTCGACACGAGACTCATGCCTCAGGGTAGGAAAGCAGACGTAGGCACCGAAAGCCGAGCGCCGCGCCTTGGGTCGTCTCTCGCGGAATGTCCAACACCAGGATCGGCACCTTGGACAGGGCCTCGGGATCCAAAACCAGCTCCGTGGCGACCCGAGTGAAGAGCTCTTCGAGCATGCCGGGCCCGTCCAGGTGCAGTTTCTCGTAAAGGGTGGACTTCCACTCTGCGTTCTCCACGGTGTGGACGTAGGTGCCCGGAAGGCCGCGGAGGGCCTCTTGCACGGCCACCGACTTGCCGCAGCCGAAGCGGCCGGTGACCACGGTCGCATGCTCCTCCCATGAGCTAATCCTGCTCTTGATGTCTGCAATGACCTGGCACAAAGCGTCAAAGTCTGCAGGCACCAACAACTTCGTGGCAAGGAGGCTACGCAGAACCCGCTAAAACAACCGAAGCAGTGCTGCCTTGCGCTGCACGACCTGCTCCTTGGGCATCTTGGTGGGGATGCGCGGGCGCATCAGGGCTCGCACTGCCTCCTGCAGTCGCCCTTCAGGTGACTCGCGGAAGGCCCGCTCTGAGTCGCGCTTGGCCCGCTCCGCGTCGTTCTTGGCTTGCTGCAGCTGGACAGCTGCGATAACGGTCCCAGCGGCTGCGATAACTGTCCCAGCGAGCGTCTGGGGCACCGTTGTCAACTGAGCGCGGGGCCGGTCGGAGCCAGCCTGAGGCATCAAGCACGAGTGCATTCCAGAAGCAGCGCACTCAGACAGCGCGCCTTCTCCTTGGCGGGCCGCTCGGCCAACTCGTCCTGGGTCGGCGGCATCAAGCATGCCCGAGCTGCCGCGCCCGGCCCCACAACGTGCGCCTTTGCCTTCTTGGACTTGTCCGGGGCCATCCCTTGCGGCTGCGGCTGGGCCTGAAGGGCAGCATCAAGGTCATAACACAGGCACTGTCCTGCACATACCCATCCCATGTGCGCAACAAGCACCATCAATCAAAACACCGCGAGCCTGCGCCGAAGGCGGTTCCTGCCAGGGCACGGCTCTCCAAAAGACTCTACAAGTTCCCACGCTGGTCCCCCAACCTGATTCTGTCCACTTCCGCTGCGCCAACGCGCCAGAGCTGGGGCTGCGAGCACATGCTGCGGGACAGCTCGGCGCCCAAATCGATGACCGAGCGCAATGACGCGCATCATTGCTACCAACAAAGAATCCCAGGCAGCAAATTGAACCGAGCGCTTCAGCAAAATTGCGGCTCCGACCAACACTGGCAAACGCAGGAGCAACACACCAGAACTACAGCCCAGCCTGTTGCGGGAGACGTGGATTGCTGGACCATCCTGCGAGCATTCTTGCGCACAGGGCATCAACGCAAAGCTTCACAAATGCAGCAGCAACCTGCCTGGCCATTTGCCGAGCAAAATGGCTGACGATACTACAGGAGAGAAAACTCAAACAAAACAAAGCAAAAGCCTCAAATGCAAAAATCTGATCACGCAAGAACGCAAACTCGGATTGAAAAATGCAGACGGCATTCCGACCTGGAAACAGCCAGCTGCAGAGCCCCTTTCGCAGCGGGCGCCTGGTCAGAGCACAGGGTTCTTGGGAAATACTCCTAGCGGTCCTAGTGCATCCTGCAGCAGCCAAGGTGTCAGCGAAACCTGAAAGATGCCTAGTCACGTCCTCTACATCTCACGTCTAGTGGCAACTACCAATCTCTACCGCAGTTCTGCACGCTTGCACCTATATCAACACTACGGTCCACAGCTCTGGCGCCTGACTGGTTCGCTCTAAACAAAGCCCACCCCGCTAGAAAGCAAGCTGACAAGCAAAACCGCGCGGAAAATAGCAAGCCGATCAAAAAAAAATAGGAAATTGCATGCGAAATTCCAAGAAAAACCGCAAGCAGCCTAAAAGCATGCAAATTGTGGGCCAATTTCGGACCAAAAGACTCTTGGATACCCAGCATAAGTCGTGCCAATTTCCTCAGGTACTCAGCACTCATCGTGTCACCCACATGATTTTCGCAGCATTTTTAAACGGATTTTTTTGCACACTATAGGAAAAGACGATTGCCGCCCCAGCCGATCCCGGCGCATCTCCAGCGCAACTACATGCAGCGATGGCGAAAGTCTGGGAAGTCTACTGCAAGCACTTCGTGGGCGAAACCCGCTGCATGACTGTGGCGGAACGCGAGTTCTTGTTGGGCAAAGAAGGAGCCGGGAGTCGATGGCTCAAAGACAGCACGTCCTCGGATCTGGCGCTGGTCCGGAGCACCGCCCGAGACGAAATGTTCTCCTGGGTGCGCCTGTCGACCACAGGCCGCCCTGCTCACGACCTGATCCGCGCCGAGCCGCCCAGACGCTTCCTTCCACGCAAGTTTCCTGTCTGGCAGCCCCACCTCCGCGAGTGGATCCAGACCTGCCGTTGGCTCTTCCATGAGGCGCGCCACTACCACAGCGAGCTCGTTTGGCGGGCTGTCGAACTGCACGTGTCTCCGTTAGAAATCCTCATCGGGCTCTCCCACCTGCCCGGCTTCGAGGACGCCTTGGAAAATTTGGCCTGCGGGCACCGGCTCCTGAGTGATGAGGACTCAGCTTCCGAGGAGGCCGAACTCTAAGATTCAAAAAGCCGATGCGCTGCCTCTACGCGTGCTACCGGGCCCTGTGGGTAAAGTATGGGGAAGATCAAGGTCTTCCCGACTCCCGACTACAGTTGCAAGCAGCCAAGCGACCCAGTGGTGCCCAAACTGCCCTCGACGGGGATCCTGCTAGGACCGAGCAAGTCGGGCAAAACGGTGGCCCTGATCTCCATGATCCTGGAGCAGTACCGGGGCTGCTTTGAGCGCATCTACATCTTCAGCCCGAGCATCAGCGTGGACGACGGCTGGCGGCCTGTGAAGCAGTACATCGAGGAGACCATGAAGGTCCCCACGGACCGGGAGCAGGTCTACTTCGAGGACTGGGATGA